CTGGGATGCCGAGGATCGGAGCCTGAACGGGGAGCGGCACCGGGCGCTGCTCCGGGAGGACGGGACGGGCTCGCCGAGCGCCCTGGAGGAGGAGGAGGAGGAGGAGAAGCAGGAACACGACATCTCCCTCTTCGTCAAGGTAGGCGTCAGGGGCTGCCGGGGAATGTCCGTAGGGAATCTCCTCTTCCAGGATCCCTGCGGTGAGAGGCGTTTAAATGTGGCCTGGCTAAGGTGATTTGGTCATTAACGCCCGATGTAAACTTGTCTCTGGCTCCTCATCCCTTCAGGAAACATAAGGAGTTCTCCGTGCATTTTCAGGTGTCCAAAATGCAGGGAGAGGGGTTCTCATCATAGGGGCTGACAGGGAAGAGCCTGGGAAATGTCATTTCAAAGGTGATGCTGGGATTTTCTAACACGAATTATGGGTGACATTCAGAGAATCGTCCCAAATTTTGGCTGAATTCACAGTCAGTAAAGAGTAATTGTAATTGTCCAGTTGGTGTTTGTTTGAAAGGAAGATCTGGGTTACAGGGAAATGGGGGGAAAAAAAGGGGGGAAACCAAAACTAATTTGTGGTATTTTATTGAGTAGAGCTTTAAACATTTCTATCCTGTGGCTGGGATCCCACCAAAATCCCTGGGATTTGGCATGGGAACAGCAGCCATCCACAGAGTCTTTATCAGATGGTGATTTTCAGTGTGCAGAGAGCATCTGGAGGTGATTTCTTCCCTCTTCTCTGACCCCTCTGGACTAAAATGTGGAGTGGGGTGGGATAAACATAAAGCTAAGGAAATAAACCTGGGGAAGCAGAAGGCATTTGGGACCTTTTCCTCTACAAACCATCCCATCCTGTTCCTCCTGAGCTGGCTGAGGCTGCTTCTGCCAGCCAGAATTCACATTAAAACGAAAATTAAAATTAAAACTTGGTGCCTTCCACTCTATGGGAGGAAAACACGGCCAAAATGAGAGAGCAGCCTAGAGAATAAGAGCATTTGTTGTGACTCCGTGGTCCCCAAATCTTGGGATTAAATGTGTGCTTTGAAAATATTTGTGAATTAATAAAGGCAGAAGGAGAAGGGAGGAGCATTTTTGTGATGGGTTTAATATTGGTAATTTAAGAATGCTTAGAAAACAATCCAGCTGCTTTTCTAATTATTTCTGTATTACAAATCTTGAGTATTTTTACCTCACCTGGAGCTGGATTTTTGTAGTTTGGATTGGATTTGTTTTTAGTTACAGGTTGGCACGAGTTTCTCCAGGAAAAGGGGGAAAAAAAAGCCAAATGGTACCAGAATGGCCATGCTGTGGTTTGATAGCACGATACAAATACAGAGAAAAAATAAATCCCTAAATGTGAGAAAATGCACAAGAAAACAACACAGGAATAGTGCTGGAATAATCCTGGCAGTTCCCCTGCTGGGGAATTTTATCCTAGCTCAGGCCAACATTAAAAAGCTTGGTGCTCTGTCAGTGATAATCTAAGAAGCATCAGCCTCAGGGGAAAAAAAAACCCTGGAAGAACAAAACATCAGAATTCCCTTGAGGCTTTCCCTGGCTGCTCCCTGATTTACACTTGCCCATGGAACAATAGCAGTTGTTTTCTTTAGATAAGAATACCCATTATTCCAGGTGTTTCAAAGGTAAATTTCCCCAAAGGTCATCCAGATCTCCTTTCCTTGGGAATTCAGTGTCCCTGGTACCTTGTGCTCTCTGCTCCTCAAGGGCTTTTTACCCCTCTCTGTAGCAAAAGCCCTTTATGGATCAGAAAACTTCTGTAAATGTCTGAATTTATTCCTTTTTAACCATTTGAATTCTCACCAAAATTCACTCCATTAATTTTATGCAACAGAACATTTATCTAAGACTTAAGAGTTTATTTCTAAGTTGAAATGATTTAATTATTTATAGATGGAAAACTCAACAGAATCACAACTGATTCTTCCAAAAAAATTCCAAAGATTCCCAAGGATTTCCCTGTACCACAAACACTTGGCCAAACAACCCAGTTGGAGCACAAGGCCTTTCTCATCTCCAAAAACATTTCTTCTTCATTTTCAGGGTTAAATGGATTTTAGTCAAAGCTGACCATGAGCACAAGGTGATAGATTTTATCCAAGGAAAAGCAGGGGGATTTATCCAGTTTGGATAAATCATTTATCTGCATTCAGAGGATGATTTCATTCCCATCAGAGCCAGGGGTTATTTATCTGCAGCAGAATTTCCTTGCCCCTCTCCTGAGATATCCTTGAGTGACTTTACACTGAGCTGTGCAGAGTTACAGAAAGGACTAAAAAATGAGAAAGGAAAAGCTTTGCTGGGAGTACAGAAATGGGAACAACTCCATTCCTGCCTCCAGAGTCTGTGCCCCCAGTTTAAATGGGAATGGGGGCTTCCTACAAAAAGAAAAAATAATAAAAAAAATTTCTTTTCTCTGATGTGATGAATCTGGGCCTTAAATAGAACTTAAATTATAAAGTAGCAGCTGAGCTGTGAGTGCTGTAGGTAAGAAATCCGTGGATTTCTTACCCTCAGCTCCCTGGAACACCTGGATTCCCATTGAGTGGAGTCTGTGCTGCACCTGGTGCTTGCTGTAAACTTTGGCATTGGCATCACTGAGCAGGTGCTGGTGCTGAAAATCTTGATTTTTCCACCTCACTCAGGGTGTAACTGATTGAAGTGAGTGGGGTTTATACAGCCAAAAATTGTGCTGTGTCCAAATCCAGGTGGACAGCTGTTTATGGACCTTTTTTTAGTGCAGATTCACCCCAGGAGCTCAGTATTTCAATGGTCTCAATAAGTGAAATTAAAGATTTCTGTGTGCAGAGTTCCACCAGCTCCAGGGTTCTGCTCCCTTCTCCTCACTCCTTGTTTTTATCCTTCCTGAGCTCCACTCCTTGGATCTTCTGCAGGACCTCAGGTGCCACATCACAGCCACTTGAAAAGTTAAGATTTACTTTAAAAATCCTGTCATTTAAAATCCTGTCATATTTCTGTAAGTTTCTCCCCTCCACCATTCCTTTGGATATTTTCATTTGCATCGTTAATGAGACCTTTTTGCTTTTTTAACTGAGGAGTTCTGAAAGCTTTGGGCTGGGGACAAGGTGGGCATGGGGCACAGCTGGGACTCCATGGGCTGGGAGGGCTTTTGCAGCCTCAGGGATTCAGGGATTCAGTGAAAGCTATCCCAGAAATAAAAAAAAGGTTATAAAGTTGTGCCCAGCAGGATCAGCACAGCCCCAGGGCTGTGTGATTTGGGCTCCTTGGCTGCACAAAAAGCACCAAAGCAGCATTTCTTCCAAAGCAGGAAGCTGGCTCCCCTCCTGTGGGTATTTGCTCTCTCACAGCTCCCTTTGAGTATTTTTTTCAGCTGGAATATGGCAATTCCAGGTTCCCTAAAGCAGCTTAAGAGGAACTGGCATTACGAATTCCGCTGGGAACTCTCTGGGTTGTTGGGTGTGCTGGGGGCACCGTGAGCAGCAGCTTTTCTGGGGATGAGATGGGCTTTGAGGTCCCTTCCAACCCAAACCTTTCTGTGATCCCAAGAATGGCTGAGGGAGCTGGGAAAGGGGCTCAGCCTGGAGAAAAGGAGGCTCAGGGGGATCCTTCTACAACTCCCTGCCAGAAGGGGCAGTGAGGGGGGTCAGGCTCTGCTGCCGTGTCCCAGGGCTCCAAATGGCCCTAAATGGCACCAGGAGAGGGGCAGATTGGAGATCACAACAAAAATTTTCCCTATGAAAGCGGTCAGGCCTTGGGATGAGCTGCCCAGGGATGTTTGGAGTCCCTGGGAATGTCCCAGAGGAGTCTGGAAGTGACCCCTGGGGACAGGGTTTGGGCTGATGCTGCTGGGGCTGGGTGATCCTGAAGGGCTTTTCCCACCTTGGTGATTCCTGGGATTTAGACAACTGACAGACCAACCTCCCTTCTCAGGTTGACATAAACCTACAGATAGAAATCAGTGATCAGAAATATGAAGTTGCATCTAAGTTATTTTTGTATGGTTTAGTCAGAATCAATGATTGGTTTGGGTTGGAAAGGGCCTCAAAGCCTATCCCATAGGGACACCTTCCACTATCCCAGATTGTTCCAAGCCCTGTCCAACCTGACTCTGGATAATTCCAGGGATAAGGGAACCACAACCTCTTTGGGTAAATACCTGCTGGAATCATCCTTTGCTGGTGCTTTGGAAATGTTAAATCTCCATGTTCCCCCAGGCCTGTCCAGGCCTCAGGCCTCTCTTCACTCCCAGGGCCGATCTCGGTGGTTTGAAGGTTGGTTTTAGGAAAAAGGGAAAAAAAAAAATTAAAAAAAATTGAAAGAAAGTCAAGGTCTTCAAAGCTTCCTGGCCCTATTCCTATTTTTATTTCCTCCCAGCTGACTGCTGCAGTAAAGCCCCACACCGTGTGTTTTGCTTTAAGCACAAGCTTAAAGTCACGTGCTGTGTAAGCCCTTCATTAAACAGGGAACCCTCTCCTGATCCAGGCCCAGGGCACAGCTTGGATTTTGTGCTGGCTGGAACCAGCAGAGTCTCCTGATGAGATCAGCCAGCTGCCCAAATTCCACCCATGGTGCCTGTGCTCCTGAATTTTGTCTTTATAAAACCTGTTCTCACCTGTGGGAAGCACAGAGCAGGGCCAAGGGGGGAAGTGTTCCTTGTGCCCTCAGTCCCTGGTGTCTGAAATTAAACTTCAGTCCCTAAATCCTGTTAGAAAACCTCAGCCTTCCTCTGGAACTTCCCTGGAAGTGTTTCTTCTGGATGTGGGACATGGTTGAGAGGTTGTGATGGTGGCACTGGATGAGCTTGAAGGGCTCCTCCAAATGTGATCATTTGGGGCTGAGGGGATTATCCTGCAGCTCTGCCAGGGAGTTTTCACTCTGCCTGTTCAATTTGAAGCTTGATTGATGTTTTCTGTAGAAGAACAACAAACCAGTCTAGGGAATTATATTCACAAATATAAAACCATTAGACTGTGGGGAGTGATTTTCTGGAAAGTGATTTGACCAATAACTTGGAAAACGTAACTATACTAAAATACAATTATTAAAAACATCAGGGGAAACTTTGTAAAGAGCCTTCTTTAAACAAAAAAATTGCAGTAGAAGGTGTCCCTGCCCATGGCAGGGGTTTGGAATGAGGTGATC